CAATGACTGGATCATCAACAACTGGCACATCTAACTCAACAACTGGTTCATCTAACTCAACAACACCATCCTCAAACATGGCGGCGCCTAACTTTATGCTTCCAGCAAATGCCCAAAATATGTCTATGACTAATGATCCGGAATTTATTAGACGTATTCAGCAACTTATGCAACGTTATATGACATCCCCACAACTTGTAACGTCTCGCCAACAAATGCCCCAAACATATTATCCTACGTCTTTCTTCGGATCACCCAATCCATTTTTCACGCCATCACTTGGGTAATTATAATATACTTAATTTTATATTTTACTTTAAATATTATTAATGTGAATTATAGTGCAACGCAGACGCCTCCTACTCAGCCATCTGAACCTCCCGAAACACGTTTCAGAACGCAACTCCAAACGCTTGAGGAAATGGGTTTCGTTGATCAAGCCGCAAATATCCGTGCTTTACTTGCTACTGGGGGTGATGTAAATTCAGCCATCGAATTTCTGTTGGCTCATCGAAGTTGATTTTACTGTAGGGTTACGACCCAACCCTTTTTTTTTGAATTATGACATTAATACTCAGTATGTTTGGGAATCAGGAATTCTACTTCATTTTGAATAATAACCAAAACCCAAATATATTTCCCACTTTCGGTTAATATTTTCAAACTCGAAAACCAATCAAATTTTTAAATCATTGCTATAAATTATTAAAAATAAGAACCTAAGAGTAATTTAGCAACTACGTAGTGTATGTTAATAAAAGTGATATGTTAGGTCTAATATTATATTGAATATAATTATAAACGCTTAATACGGTGGTTAGTAAAATCGATCCTTTTATATACCGGTTAGATTATTCTAATCGTGTATCGGATTAATTGTTGATGAATTCAAGAATTTTTAAGAATTTTTAAGCATTTTCTAACATGGATATCTGTATATCTAAGTATAAATCATTTATACAGTTGAATCTTCATTAAATCAACTAAGAGTTTATTATATAGTACAATTAATATTTAGATAACCGTGTTAATTCTAGAGCTAATACATGCTAAATGATATAGTTTTTATGATTTACTATTAATATTTAGTTACTTTTTTATAACTATCTCAGAATAAAGATTTAAATACAGCAGATTTGAATAATATATTATCAAATATATTACACTAAGTTGGATAGACTAATTTCTAAATTAGATTATAAGTTAATATTTTTGTTGTTATAAATTATTATATATATTTTAATATTAATTAAAGTATTTTATTATTTTATAAACTCGTATTTATATTATATTTTTTAGTAAATAATTAATTTTTATAGTTATAGATGTATTTGTTTTTGAGATTAAATAATATTAGTAAATTATTAGATAAACTAATTTAAAAAATATTGAGCTTTAAAAATAAAATTAATAAAAATAAAAAATAGCTTACAAAAGAATTTTATTACTTCTTATTACATTATTTATAATTATATATAGTTTTAAATTTATATTAATATTATTACTATTGTAAATTAGAAGAGCAAATAATATTATATAGTTTAGTTTCAATAGTTAATATGAATATAATAGTATTTTATTCAACTAGATAAAATTTATATATATATATATATATATTTTTTTTTTACTTTATACAAATACTATTGGCTAAACTTTATTAATTTCATAGATTTCAGAAGTGATACATATTGTGAGAGTACAACTAGCCACATGTACAATTTTAGGTTGTCTATTTT